GATATAGGCACGAAGATGAACGATTGTTCATACACATATTAATTAATACAAATTTTTGACCAATTTATCCTTTGAACAATTGTTCATACACATATTAATTAATATATTAATTAAATTATTGTTTATTTAATCTCATTTAATAATAATCGTTAGATGAGAAAATGAACGATTAAAATGGGTTAGCATAGTTTGCACAAAATATTGGGTTAGTATTTGAACCAGCCCCTATATATATATATATATATATTTCAAAAAAAAAACCCAAGAACATATTAATTCAAAACATATTATACAATGCAATTTGGACAGCCTAACCCCAAAATATATAATATATATATAAATAAATAACTATAAAAGTATAAATCGTAAATATTAAAAAAAAAATCACAGTATATATAATATATAATAATATAATTAAGTAAAAAATTATTCAATATTGGATTCATTTCGAAAGTATTAACGAGACGATTATAATGGTGTAACTTGTTAAAATAAAAATATATTTTTTAAACATGTTTTAATTGATATACGATTATGTATGTTAATTTGATAAAGGTTTAAAATAAAACATTTAAAAGTAAAGAACGTAAAGTAAATTAATTAATTAATTAATTATAGGGGTATAAAGTGGAAATTTAAAATTATAATTTTAAAAAAATCGGTTGTGAGAGGTGAGTGTATGTGAGGAGAGGAGGGGGTGAAAAAGTGAGTATAAATGGTATTTTGGTCATTTAATATTTTAAGAATTTAAGGCTTTTTCTAAATTTGCTTAATAATATAGTATAGATTTGATTTTTTTTTCATTTCATAATTATTTGTGTCACATAAAGTATCTTAAATAAATATAAAGACTTAATCACAAATTTGGTTCTTATGGTCTAAACATTATTTATTAAGAAAATGGACTCATCATTTGTACGTTTGTAACTGTTTGGTTTCTCTCTTTAACAGTCATCCAATTTCTCCGTTGACCTAGAGGGCATTTTCGTCTTTCTAACTTAGTGTTATTTTCTTATTTTTTTTTTTTTTTGTCTTTTTGGTTGAGTGTTCTCTATCAAAAACAATGAAAAACGATCAAAATCCTGAATTCAAAAACAATCAAACACCAAACTCAAAATCAAGACCAAACACCCTAAAATAAAAAGAAAACAATCAAACCCTAAAATCTTATATTGAGCCACAAGTTTTCTGAAGTTTTGCATCCTAAGAGCATAGGACTTGTTTATGTACTTATCTAACAGTCTTTCATCCTGATCTCCATACTTTCCCAACTATTCTATGTAATTCTCCTTGATCAAATATTCTAAATACCAACACGAACCTCACACACTCCACTCACCTCATGTTCTTTTTCTTTGTGTGAACTACAATTGTGTTAAGGAGGAATCTGGAAATTAATGGGAACAGGGAGAGGGGGTTTGTGGTTTGAGAAATCAAGAGGAACAACCGGACAATAATTAATGAGAAAAGGGGTTCCAACAATGGTGTTGGTGATGAGGAAGATGGTGGTAGAGTATGATTGTGGATTTCCTGATTTGKATTTTGATTTTGATTTTGATTTGGTCAAGTTGATTTAAAGTTCTTGTTTTTTGATTAGGAAGATATGAGATGAGGATTATAAGTTAAAAAAAATGACCATTTTACTCTTTTAGGGTGTGTTTGGCAAAAGGTATTAAACAGTAATTAATGAGAATGAAAATAAAAGAAACTATTTGGTTTTTTATAATATAATGGGTCCATTCCTTCAGAAGCCCAAATTTTCATTTTAGGTTAAACTGAGGGGAATGAAAATTCATTCCCATTTTCATTTTCATACACATTTTCATTCCTCTGTCTGAATCAAACGCCCCCTCCCCCCCCCCCTAGTTAACAAAAATAATGGATTGTCGTGAAGATGAGATTACAAATGAGCAAATGATGAGTTTGATTATGTAATAAATAAAGTTTAGAAACCAATTACAGAAAAACCATCAAACCATAGGGACCAAATACATTATTAACTATATGAACAAGTCAAACAAGATTTTACATATAAAGGCTCACGTTCGGAAACCTTTAAAATGGGATAGCTACGAGTGGTTTTCTATTCTTTACTGCAAGGGAAAACATATTGGAAAAATCATGCTCTTTGCCCTTAGAAAAACTCCATTAGAAGGAGTGCAAGAGTGAAGCCAAGATATACGTTTGCATTTTCTTAGCCAATTGAAAATCTACACACAATCTTCTATCTGAACTAAATGAAAAAAACTTCAAATTGTTTCTTTTGAAATCATATTTGTCCGTCCCCATACGAGTCAAAAACCTCTCGGGATTGAATCGCAAGAGATTGTCCCAATTTTGAGGATCCCGATGGATTGCCAAAACGCTCACAAAGACAGTACAACCCTTTAGGATGGTGTATCCACCTACAGTGCAAGTTTGACTTGGTGATCATGGGATGAGAAGAGGGACTCCAGGCTGCAACCGCGAGGTTTCTCTAATCGTTGCATCAATATATTTTAATTTCGATAGATGAGATTCTTCAACAATGTTGCTTGGTCCTACAATTTCTGCCATTTCTTCTTGAACACTTTTCATTATGTTACCATTTTATATAATCACTGCCATCACCCATTATATCAATGAAGTCGTCGTTTTTGTTCCTACAATTATAATGTCCTGAAAAACTACAAAGTTTAAACATATCCTCACTTTACAGAGCCAAAATAAAACATTAGATCTAATTATAGACTAAATATGATTTAGAAGGATCGAGCTTAATGACTAAAAATCTCTTGTTCCAAACTCTCTGGTCTTGTTCATGTCCACCAATCGCATGAATACACATTATCAGGAAAAAATGTGAATTTCCATTAAATAAATTGAAAGTTGTCAAATGGGGAAGGAGGTAATGCTAACTTAAACCCAAATTAGAGAGTTTAATCAAAGTCAAAAAAAAGGGGATAAGTCAGTGATCCCAATGAATCTCTTGCTTGAACATTTAAAGGAGTTCTTGGTGTACAAGACAAAATTCTCAAAACATACAAATACGATGATTCACCTACTAAATATGCATCCGACACAAACTAAAGAGATAATGTTAGAAGACAACACCGAGATTTACGTGGAAATCCACATCGGGAGAAAACCACGGGTGGAGGAGACCGCTAAGAGAAGGCCACTAATGAAGAACAAAGATTACAATGCTTTTGAATGAGTAAAATCACAACTATGGTGATTTTGTGTATTTCGAGATAGAAATGATAAAATGATTCATCTCTAAACATGTTTTTCAGCTGGGAAACATTACAACAAAACTGGGTTGATTTAATAAGAATTTGTTTAAGTGTCGTTGATTTAATAAGAATTTGTTGTTTAATTTAGGGTTTAGATTTTGGATTTTGTTTAAATTTATATGATTTTGATTTTAAATGTTATCGGTGTTCTTGATGATTAGAGTCGGAGAAGACGAACATTCAAGGAAAATGTATAATTAATTAGAAAAATGTTAAAATAAAGAAATAAAGGTAAAAAGACCATAATGCTCTTGAGTTTAACAAACTGCATATGTGGAGGTTTCTTTTGTAATAATTGAAGTTAAAGGACGAAATCCGTAATAATTGATATACCTTAGGGACCAAATCCACAATTTACTCAAAATAAAATTACTAAGTAACGTTTTAATAAACTAGTTTATAAATTGTTTTTTGTTCATCTACACGAAATTTTGAAATATACCCAAATAATAAGATAGCTTATATCAAACATGGCCTAAATGAATTTACAAGTCAAGTGTCATGTTGTCGCTAGGGATTCAACTCGTTAATTGTACTTATGCAAAATTACTTGTAATATTGAATTTTAAGTAATATGCATCAATAAACAGTGCTTCTTGTATAAAAATAGTTTTTGAGAGTTTTTATTAAATAATTTATAATATAGTATAGATTAAGATTTGTGGTTCTCATATCAGAATTAAATAAAAACCCACAAAATTGAAAACCCCAAATATTAGATCTGGAGTTGTGGCCCAGGCCCAACCCAAGCGGCCAAGCCCCAACGACGGGCAGCCCCATTTTGCCACGGCCCAGCACTTCATTTGCGAATCGCGACAGGGAAAGGCGTCGGTTCTAATTCTTTTCGCCCGTTTATTTTTGCGAAACAGCAAAACTACCAACTCAAAGAAAACAGAATCACTCAAAATGTTAAAGATTTAAGAATTTCATGTTAAAAGTTTTCGATTTTATTGAAAACGTCAAGTTACACCATTTCGTCAAATTAATAGCTTTTTCGTATTAGAATGCCAAAGAAAACACTTGATAACTGTACGACGACTTGTTTTTCACTAAAAATTGAAAAAGAGAAGAATAAAAAACTCAGACCAAACATTTAGAAAGAAAAAAAATTAAATAAATTGAAAGTTATTCAATAATCACACACGATCCAAACTGTAAACGTTCTATCAACATAGCAACAGCAGTGGAATCCAAAGTCTCCTAGCTATCTTGATATGATCTTTAATCTTGACTGCATAAACGAGTCGAACAAGATTTTACACATAAAGGCTCACGTCTCGCAACCTTTGAGATGGGATAGCGACGAGTGGTTTTCTTTTCTTTAACGCAATGGAAAATGTATCAGAAAAATCATGCTCTTCGCCCTTTGGCAAGCTCCAATCAAACGAGTGCAAGAAAGAAGCCAAGATATACATTCCCATTTTCTCAGCCAATGGAACACCTGGACACAATCTTCTACCTGATCCAAATGGGAAAAACTTCAAATTGTTCCCTTTGAAATCGTACTTGTCCATCCCCTCTTCCGTCAAAAACCTCTCGGGATCGAATTCCAAGGGATTGTCCCAATTTCGAGGATCCCGATGGATTGCCCAAACGTTCACAAAGACGGTAGAACCCTTTGGGATGGTGTATCCACCTACCGTGCAAGTCTGACTTGGGGATCGCGGTACGAGAAGAGGGACTACAGGGTGCAACCGCAATGTTTCCTTAACCGTTGCATCCAGGTACTTTAATTTCGAAAGATGAGATTCTTCAACAATGTTGTTTGGTCCTACGACTTCTGCTAATCCTTCTTGAACCCTTTTCATTACGTGGCGATTTTGCATAATCTCTGTCATTGCCCACTCTATTACTGATGTCGTTGTTTCGGTTCCTGCAACCATAATGTCCTGAAACAACAAAGTTTCAACATTTTGTTACTGATCCAAATGAGAAGAATGTAAAATGATTTGGAAGGATAAATCTTGATTACCGTAAGAAGTGCTTTTATTTTGGTGATGTCGAGCGATGTTGCATCCTTTTGGTCCTTGAGCTCTAATAAGATCTGCAAAAAGTCTTTCTTTCCTTCATGCCCAACTCCAACATCTAACCTTTCGGAGTTCAGTTTGATTCGATCATCGATGATGCTTGTGAAAACTCGATCCAATTCCTTAAAGTGCACCTTGGACTCCCGTTCGACACCTTGTAGATCAAACCACGTCAGAAAAGGGAAGAAATCCGACAGATTTGGTCGTCCCAACATCTCAACAATCTTCGACACCACCATCTGCAACTCAGCTCCAAGATGGTTATCTTTTCCCCAAACCATGGTCGTTAGAACGTTGGCGATCATAAAGAAAGAAATCTCCTTAACGTCAATTCGGGTCCCAATTTTGCTATATACATTCTTGATCATTTTTCTAACTTCATCCGTTCGGAAAGAACTACATGCTTCAAGATTCTTGTTACTTAGGACCTCGTGGACCAAGATCTTACGAAGGTTACGCCATGATGAGTTACTGTTGGACCATGCTATATCTTGGCCACCGTAAGCGATTATTGAGGCCGCAATTGTGAGGCTGCGGTTAGCAAAGGTCTCATCTTGGTCACGAACCACCGTTTTTGCTAGTTCGGGGGTGTTGATCACAACGTAAAGCTTGATACCTAGCCAAATCTTGAAGATGGGACCGTGACTGTGAGCCATGTTGGTGAAGTGTGTGTGCAAGTTAGGGTCAAGAAAGGGAAGGTAGCCTACGATCGGCAAGTTACGGGGACCTGGTGGCAAGCATCTCGATAGTGTCGACCGGTACCATAAAACCGCAACCCCGATGGGTACAAAAATGGCAACTAGTATCGGAGTAAGGTCGTACTTGTTGGTTTTCATCATCGGCCACCACCATGGCACATATTGTGTCATTTTTGGTAACAATTAGTAGAATAAATGAATCGTATATATAGAATTAGATACTAAAAGTATGTGGTGGAAGTTGATGAGAGTGATTTTTGAATAATTGCAACCATAAATAAACAAATATGTTACCACTTACAACTATTGGTTTTTAAATTATTGCAGCCACAAAAAATAAAACTATTGCAGCCACAAATATAAAAAATAACGCTGCTTATTTGAGATCAAAAAATTAATTACCCAGATCCTACGTAAAGCCTGAGGTCCTCTAAAAACCATATGTAAGAAGGTATTTTCGAGTTGATTCAATGCATGAGTTTAACCAGGTACTTGAACTCGTTATTTATTTTATTTGATGGATATTATATATAATATTGACCATGGTGAACCAAAAAACCACTATTTAAATCGAGCATTATCTCACGTAACTATACGAAAGGTATTTCATTGTAATCTTCTTTCGTTCTTTTTTATTATAATCCATACAGTATCTTCATTCCTTTACATGTTTTGTGTTGATGTTGTTCTAGGTTGGTAATATATGATTCTCAAGCAAATAAGATGATTTGTGCCCTCACATTGCCAAAAATTACGAGACAACATTCGTGTTCACGGTCTACCCATGGTCAGATTGACACATCTTTTTTGTTTCATTTGTTAATGCTTATGTACCCGACCAATAAACAAGTGTAACAGTAGTTACAATGGTTTTTTCTTCAATTATGATTATTAAAACGATTAGTTTTCAATTATCATACTGACAGTTTTGAGTTATATTTGTTATACATGTAAGTGTAATACAAAATGATAAGAAAACTCATTTACTTTTAGGATAAACACAGTTTAGATAGAAATATTTAGTTGATGATTATATATTTAAAACTTGTCACAAAAAATATTATAGCATTGCATTTTTTAATATTTTCTAGTATAATAATATACTTTTAAATTATTTTTTTATTAAAACATTATAATTAAAAAATAAGGAGCCGTTTAAAACACATAACTATATTATAATTAAAAAATAGCCAAAAAAATCTCAAGTAAACGTTGCAAGACATTTTTTTTGTCGTTTCTGACATTTTTTGACTCAGCCAAATAGAAACCGAGTCCATTGCAAAAATAATATGACACACCACAAGGACATGTGTCGATGCACAAAACCAAGCCAAATTTGCAGCAACGCAATGACATACCACAACTTGTGATAACGCAAAAACATACCGTAGCTTGAGACACTGCAAGAAAAAGTATCTTACGATGTTGACATGTAATTTCTTGGTTGTTTTAAACAATAATGATCAAAGGTGACTTTTTAGCTTATTTATGACAATAACCATAATTCTCAACCCTTTTGTGGTTTATCATTCATTTGAATTTTCTTTTTCTCAAAACCATATATGGAATCTGTTAAAAAACATATCTATATTATATTATAAAGCATTTGACAAAAACTATTAAAAATCATTTTTTATGCATGAAATACTGTATATTGATGCATATTACTTACAATTCAAGATTACAAGTAAATTATGCATAAGTACAACTTATTAAAGCTCCATGTTTGAATTCGTGTAACTAACTGCGGATAAACATAATCAAATAAAGAATAAACATCTCATTTTAAAATATAAAAAATCTAAAATATAATTAGGATAATTATCGAGTTATAACAAAATAATTATTTATTATTTCTATAAGAAAATTATATTATTAAACCAAATATAAATAACTTTTGTATTGAACCTAAATTAAATTATAATAAAAAAATTGAATTAAAAAATTACACAAAAATAGAAATTTTAAATAGTTAATTTGATACTAATATCGATATATTTTTGTCAAATTTTTATGATATCTTCAAGTTTATATTTTTTTCAAAAATAAAAACACCATCGCTTTTTCAAAATCATATAAGTCCATACTATAATATCGACTGAGATAAATAATAAAATGAAATATTAAAATCAAGATGTATCTCGTTAAATTGCATGGTACCCTTCTAGTATAAGTAAACAATCTTAGCTTGTGAGGTTTCTTGGGTTCATTTTTATATTTTTCAAGGTTGAGAGTGCAAAATATTTGAGGACTACTAGAGTTGACAATTTTCATTCTTCAAGGGTACCAAAGTTTGTTGCTGAAATATTCGAGGACCTGGATGTAACTTTGATAAATATAAATAGGATGAATGTTTCTCTTTTCCTTTAACAATCGTTGGTTTAGATTTCGAATCACAACTTTTAGGGGTGGATCTATGAAAGGTTTTAGTGGGGTCTTATATACCCATTCAATCTATTTTTAGCTAAGGTTAAAAATAGCGTCAGACGTAGCGTGACGTCGAGTTCAAGGGTTAAGCTTTACACGCCTTCAGGACGAAGATACGGGGTTTTCAAGCGTGATATATATAAGGTGGTAAATTTGTATGTCATATATATATATATATATATATGCGAAGAATTGTGTGAGAAAAAAAAGTTAAGATGAGATAAAAAAAATAATTGTTTGGTGCATATCATCCTAATGTGCATCCAAGGATGAAGATGACTTCTTACATTTCTTATCGGGATCCAACCCTATGTATATGACTTTTTTGTTAATTGTTTTATACAGTTTGTTCCATTAGATGTGTTTTGGACTGTTTACATTATTCGAAACACAAATGAAACGATTGTTTGAAATCTATGTTTTAGGTACTGGGAAAAAAAAATTGTTTATCCCTTCTTTCATCAACTGCAAACTATTTTATATATTGTATAATATAGGATTAGGTCTTGTTTTTTGTTTTTATTCAGGTAAATTATATTAAAATAAAATGTATTATTTCAATTTATATCTTAAAAACCTATTTTCAAAAGGTTTATTTATATTCATTTAGATTTTTTTCAGAGAATTATAATAATTTAAAAAACAAATAAATATGAATGAAAAATGGAGATGCGGGGGATCGAACCCCGTGCCTCTCGCATGCAAAGCGAGCGCTCTACCATTTGAGCTACATCCCCAAACGATGTTTTACTATGAGACTGAAATTTCTTAAATAAAGTCTTAAATCTGATTTGTAAAAAACGAGCCTTTTGGACTGAAATTTGATAATAGAAAAAATAAATAAATATGATTTTACGAGTATGATACTTTAATATTATAATATGGATTTGGAATCTAAACGACATATTTACTTAAAAGTGATGTTGCATTTCATCAGAGAATATGTCCCCGTTTTCCCTGCTCAAATCCGCCCACGATAGGATGATAAAATCTTAGATTGTATCAAATCGAAACAAAGTTTTAGATAATTTGAGATACAATTTGGAGTCATGAAGCAGTGGCCTCTACCACCATATGCTATCAAATGGATCCTCCCCTACTTATCCCTTCCCCCATACCCCATACCCAAGTAACACGCCTTTTCAAGATATAGCTAGACCGAAGACGTGTTCAGTTACAAAGTACAAAATTTTTAATAAACACACTTTTAATGAATTTTAAGTATGTACAAAATTTCTTTGTTTACTCAACTTATGGGTTATTTCATTACAATCCCAACCAAAATTTCATAACGTCAAACACCTAACCGCCCCCTTCTCAACTTGTCCTTACACGAACACACATACCGTTGGGTTTGTTTTTTAAGGTTTTTTTTTTTAATCTTACGGCTCTTATTTTAGCTTTGGTTTTGATTTAGTAGAACTTGTGGTTGATTTATTGGTGGATTTCATTTGGTTTCTTCACATCTAGGCTATGTCTATTTGGATGAGAAGGCACAATTCGTTTATTTGGATTTTATCCTTTGATTCTGTTGCTCATCAATCTGTACTTGGATTACATCATTTCGTTTTGGTTCATGAATCTAGTCATTAATTGGATCTCCCTTGTTACTACATTTATATGAGTTTGGTTCACGAAGTACTGTTTAATGATGTCTATTACTTAAAATTCAAGATTACAAGTAAATTGCACGAAGTACTGTTTAATGCTGTATTTTTCATGCACGAAGTACTGTTTAATGATGTATATTACTATATTGTGTGTAAATACAACTTATTAAAGCTATATGTAAATATAGAATGAACATCTCATTTTAAATATAAAAAATCTAAAGTATAATTAGGATAATCATTGAGTTCTAACAGAATACTTGATTATTATCTTTGTAAAAACTTATATTATTAAACCTAAATTAATTTACTTCATTACGTTAAATTAAATTATAACAAAAAATTTGAATTAAAGAAATTACACAAAAGAAGAATTTTTAAATGGTTAATTTGATATTAATATCGATTATAGTTTTTTCAATTTTTTATGATATTTTATTAAAAAATAAAAATATTATCGTTTTCACAAAACCAGATAAAACCGTATTATATCGACATAGATAAAAAATAAAACGAAACGTTGAAATCGGGATGTGTCTTGATGTATTGCACGAATACCCTTCTAGTGTGTGTGTATATATATATATATATATGTGTGTGTATATACGTACTATAAATTATTAAATATAATATGTATAATTTTAAAACAGAAAATAAATGAAAATTATAAAAAGACATTATTAGCCCTAATTTAAGAGAGCACTTGTTATTAGAGTTGGGGTAAGGGATCCAATTCATAATAAAAATGAAACCATGGTGACAGTATATGTAATTAATTTGTTTGAGGGACCCAATCCAAAATTTTCGATAACCATGGAATGAAATTTGTAATTTACTCTCTATTACGTAACAAGTAAAAACGTAACCTTGATCTTGTTCTATGTAAGTTGAAACAAAACTATAAAAGACCTTAAATCACCATCTATAATCAACTTAAAAATCGACTTCATTTCAATTAATGATAAAACAAACATCCATCATTACATATCCCCTACCATCGGTTTTCAACAATTGGCACAAATAAAGCAACATTCATTATCTGACTTACAACTATCACAAGATTCACCAAATTCAAACATAAAGTTTTAATAAGTTGTATTTATACATAATTTGATTGTAATCTTGAATTTTAAGTAAGATGCATCAATATACAGTATTTCATGCATAAAAAATTGTTTTTAAAATTTTTTGTCAAATATTTTATACTATAGTATAGATTATAGATTTACAATATCACAATAAGTTTTTTTGAAAATAATAATAATTAATGAAAAGGGTATAAATGTTTAAACCTTTTCGGGTAATATTTTTTATTTTTTATTTCTATGAACACAAATGAGAATTTTTTCCGGTTGGATTGTTTGTAGAGCCGCCGGAGGTGGTGGTCGTCGATTTATTCACAACGATGGAGGTTAAGACACTACTAGCTTCAATCAGGATTCGACACAATCTATCTTTTCTGTAACTCATGGATTCAATCAGCACTGAACTACCATGCTTCATAAATCCTGATTCAGTTTCGAAACAAAATGTAAAGTTCGGTTTCAAGTATCTCTCTCCTAGCAGTTTTCAATCTTCCGCAATTTCCGTCTCCCCATTTTCATCGGTGAAGCTCCTTTGTGCAACTACATTCACCAGAGTGTTAGCACTCCAAATCAATGCAACTATGCAATATTGTGAGTCCTTTTTCTCTTCTCTATTGACAAATGTGTGCTACAAATGATGCTATGAGATAAAGGTGTCGTTCCCCAATTTCTGATTGAAATCATCTAGTATTAGCTTTCAGTATCAGCTATTGAATCCCAAAATTCATCGATTCAGTAAATATACACACCAGTTCCAGGTGGAGGAGTAACAATACCCATTCACATTGTCTTCTCCCTAGTTAATCACTCATGGCTTGTCATTTGACCTAGCTAATTAAAACCTCAGACATTAAACCCCAATTGCCACTATAAAACAAACAATCCATCCATGTGGCAGCCTGAGAAGAGGCATATCACAATTATTTGAGAGAAAGAGGGAAATTGGTTTGGTAAATATCAAGAGGATGAAGTTAAAATCAGAAGAAACAACTCAAGAGGTTGATGTATTTGGCATCTAAAACCTTTCTTCTTGTCTCTTCTATTGTTAAGTCTATTGGCCCTTACCCTTGGTCCTTAGAACCGTTCATTGATACTGAAAACATGCTATGTAATATTTTTTTTTAAATCTTTTAGTTAGAAATCACATATAATCATCTTCATAAGACATCCGGTTTGTCGATTGTGGTAACTGAATTGTCCTAAAAAAAACTTCCCTTCTACTCTTTCGATGCTATAATGGATTAACGAAATCACCATAAGACATGGTACGATGACAACAAGAGTCGTGTGCCAACTAGTTTAACTCTGGTGTATTCATCAGATACTTTCCTGGCTTGCTGATCCTACTTACTGCACATCTTATGGGACAAACTATGTAAGAGTACATGGACGGAGTTTAGTAGACTTGAATTATATATAATTGTTAAAAAGATGAGTACGTAACTCATCTTGTAAACTGCTCCACTTGTCTCTTTTGTGATGCAAGTTTCCTTAAATTGATTTGTGGGGTTACCATGTCAAGTACCGTAGATGACCTTTATGACCCTACATGTATATAAGCCAATTTTTAATTGAGAATTGTTTGTGTTGGCATGAATAGGATGCAATTTTTTATAGGTGGGTGATGGTTTCAATGCTTCTCTTTGTCTATGAGCTTATAATATTACTAGCTAGATCCCATAGTTAAGTACAAGTAGGAGGTTTTGATATTTGAATATTGATTGGCTGGTTTCAGAGTAAGGGGCCTTCAGTTGTTTTTTCAGTATACCCTGTATGAAATAAGCTGTCTGGAATTAGTGTAATATATGATTGAGATTGACAACATACTCTAATAATTCTCTTTTTGCTGTGTAGTTAAATTTCTAAAATACCCAACGACAACAACAACAAAGGTCAAAGGCTAATGGTTGTAATTCAAGGCGATCAATATCTTGTAATAATTATTAGCACAAACATAATTTCACACAATACCAAAAAGGAAAGCAATGCTTTTATTTTGAGGCATTTGGAAAAGAAAGTTAACTACGTTTACTTTGAGACAGATGGAACAAAGTATTAGAACAAGCATGGCGTGCTATTCATGCTTGCATTTTACTTATTAAACAAAGAAAATGGATTATTAAATGAGAGCATGAAAGGGGAAGCTAGGCACCATACACTCGTTGGGCTAGGTCAAACTATATTTTTAGAACCAATATTATAATGACTGAATAGTTTACTCTGTCTCCCTCTATCAAAGATAAACCTCCAAATGGTTCTAAATAGAGGCCAAACACTGAAAATAAATAAATAAAATTGAAAATAACAAAGAGGTGTGTACAAGAGCAAGACCCTTTCAGCTGTTGCTCTCATTTTGACAAGATCTACTCTTTCTACGCCTATATATATAAATGCATCAGAATTTATAAGATACATATCACCAACTGATATAGCAACCAAACCCAAGCACCATTACAAATATAGAGAAATGGCTAGGAAGAGAAAACAGGCCAATGATCATGAAAGGATCATGAGTGAGAGGAACTCTGATCATCCTGAAGAGAACATGACTTGGGATGATATGGTTAAGGAATCAGCAGCTGCTGCAGCACTAGGTGGACCCCGACGAGCTCGGAAGCGGTTTGTAGGTGTTCGCCAGCGGCCATCTGGCAGATGGGTTGCAGAAATCAAGGACACCATACAAAAGATTAGAGTATGGCTAGGCACCTTTGATACAGCTGAGGAAGCAGCTAGAGCATATGATGAAGCTGCTTGCTTGCTACGAGGAGCCAATACTCGCACCAACTTCTGGCCTTCTTCCCAATCATCTTCAACCACACCTGCACTTCCTTCAAAAATCACAAACCTCCTTCTTCATAGGCTCAAAGCCAGGAACAATTCTTTAGCAGCAGCAGCAGCTGCTTCATCTCACCACACTCAGCTAACCACCGGTTGTCATGATGACAAGAAGCAACATGAGGAATTTAGAGATGACATAGGTGAGCTTCCAGATACAATCTTTACTGATTTTCTCAATGACCCAGATGAGTATATTCCTGAGAACTATGAGATTTTGTTAACCAGTAGCAATGATAATTACGACAACCGGAATCCTTTATCATCTTTACCTGTTAAAGATGATTTTGATCAGTTGATAGCACCTGATAATTTAGATAATCATGATGATCATATGGCATCACAATGTTCAAGTGATGATACAAACAATGAAGGTGCAATGGAAGAAGACGAATTCGAAGAAGAAGGGAGTAGTGATATGGGAGTAATTGATTTCGGGTTCATTGATGAACTTGGATCATCTTGTAACTTTTCTCCATTTGAGATAGCTCAAGAAATAGCATCACATGAACTTCAGGAGGAGGTTTACAACACGGAAGGAGACGAGCCATTAACAATAAGTGAAGCAATGAAGAGGATGAAATACGAGCGCAAGTACTCAGCTTCTCTCTATGCTTTCAATGGCATACCAGAATGCTTGAAGCTGAAGCTTGGACTAGGAAGAGGCATCAAGTCAAGAGAAAGGTCCAAAATGCAAAGGACCATTAAGGAATTGGATAAAAAAGCAGATGAAGAATCAAAGAAAGATGTGGAAGAAGAAGCTGTAATTTCTTCTACAACTAATATTATTGATGGAGAATTATCATTGTGGAGCTCTCTTGATCTTCCAACCATCTGCTATGTTAATTAGCTATCTCCTTTCAAACTTTTACAGGGTTTTAGTTCTTTCTAGTTTCAACAGCATGTCATGTCCGAAGATGGCCATAGAGTACTGTAATTTTTTCCGTCTTCTAATGTTCATCCGTAATGAAAATGATTTTGTAACTATTTTTCTCCAGCATTCGTGGCTTCTGATGTTATGGCTGCAGTGATTTTTAATGTTTTCAATTGTAGAGATCAGTTAATGTAACTTCATTAATCTGAATCCTTGGATCCTAATGAAGATCCTATGCGCAAATTGCAATATACTTTGGCCATCATCATCTTAAAAGGATGACAAGTACGAATTGTCATGTATCATTTAAACATCTTGAACAAATTTTATATCACTTAAAGCGTATCGTTATTATTTTCTGACATTATTTTAAAAATCTCTATTTTACGCTCTGGACATCTCCTTTAATGCTCCAATATATCAATAAAAAAATTCTAAAAATAGCAACAATAGAGGAAGTAACGATTAACACACCTGTGTGTTCATAGGTTCTGTACTAATCTGAGTAAGCATCATTTTGGAGTTTGCCAAACATACCATTAAACTCGACCATGTGTTTTTCAAAACACTTGTTCAAAGCGAATCCATGGGTAGGTTACAAATTACTCTTATTATGAACCAAAAACATAGAAGACAACAATAATGAAGTTACCAAGTAAAAGCCCATACTCCTGATGAGTTGCAAAAAAGATAGGCTCATAACATTCGCCTATAAATACGGTATCTAGATTATAACATAGAACCCTAAATGAGACGCTTGGTATATACAGCCCAGCTTTTCTTCACAAAGGTATTTCCTGGAGAAAGCCAGTCTTCATTTCAGGCTATGCTCATTCTAGTCTTCTATAGGACGCGAAGCTGAGCAAGGAACGCAGCAGAAAGTTCCAGAAACAGAAATTGAGGTCCATATACCCTCTGTAGATCAAGCAGATACTTCTCCTCGCGAGTTTTGTAAAGCTGAAAGAACACACGTTCTAACACCATCAGTAGCCTTTATGGCAATCTTTTATCAGGGTGCGAATAACTGGATAACCATGTTACCTGGACTTCAAACTTGACGACATTGGGGGATGGTGAGGCAGGGTCAGCGTCTACTATGCTTGATTCATCTCCAAAGTAATGACTACTCTGCATGCCGTCATTTACCATACCTTCGTGATGTCCAGGACTCCATCTACATTTCATGTTGTAGTGACCTATCTTCTTCCAGCACACATTCAGTTCTTGCAGAGCTTTTAGAACTTCTGTCATTATCTCACGAGGATGGGCTCGAGACTGATGAAATGGACCAGGAACACTATTAACTAACAAAATATGGGCAAAGGAGTAGACGTCAAAACCTTGTCTTATGAACCCTTAAAAACCTTGTCATTAGAAAAAACGTGATCCTTTTACCGTTTACATGATACTCAGACAGTGTCTTATTGTGTACCCTGACAACACATGGATATTACAGTAAAGCAAGTATAATTCAATTAAAAGAATAAGGAAACGGGCAACATAACCTGAAGCCCAAGAGCCCATTTCCTCTCGACTTGGCTTCTCATATTTGTTCCTTGATAATCCATGTATCCGGTTGTGCGTGGTGCTAAAACTGAAGCGGCAGCCTCATTTGAATTGATACGATTGTACCCCTCCTGCATGGACATGGTTACATGGAAGGAACTTAGTAGAAGCACACAATTTGGAGAAATACTCTCATAGATGATGGGTTATCCAAGGATACTTCCTCATTGGTTAAACCTCATGTAAGAGGTGCCAGATATTATCACAACCAAAACAAACAACTTCAAGAGACAATCTTACCACAGGTTTCTGGAATTCAGCTCCAAGATAACTGTTTGAGTTACGAAACCTATTGTCCAATAGCAAATAATATGCGACAGTACCCTGGAAAATATGGCAAAACTTAGCAATGTCATAACCTGAAATCCATAAAAGTACATAAAAAAAGTTTAGGTAATTACCTCATTTTGCACTCGATTGCGAAGTGACTCAACAAGACCATCCCTGTCAAACCCCATCTTAACCACCTCTGTAAGAATATCTTCATCAGTCTGCAGCAAAAAATACTCTAATTACCATGAGGAGAGGTGCATTGTTATGTATACAGATTGCAGATGATGGAAGAAAGTGGAGCATACAAATCAAAGCATCAACATAGTTAAGCATGTGTACCATGTAGCATACATTTGGAGTTCGTTATTAGTGTCAACATATTGTTGAATTGTTGTATATTTGCAATTATCATTGGCACTGTAGGGTATATTTCAGGTATGTTGTCGCATTCCAATCATAAAAGAAAAGAAAGCAGAGCTAATCCTTCAACTCTATCTACCATATGCAAGTCCAAAATCATCCATTTGAATGCTGTGGCATACCCTCTTGTCAAAGAATTATGATTCAAAGTTCTAAATTTGAAAGAAAGGTTGCATGACAGCAGATATCAATTAGAAAAAAAAGTTGCTCCATCTTATGAATCCAGCCAAGTGGCCTTATATCTGCATGAAGTGAACCATCACCCCAAACACTCAATGTGTTCAGATCGAAAGAAGCCATAATATTTCTTACCTTTCTTGCTTGCTGCATAGAATCTGGTGGAGGGACAGCTAAGTAGCGTGGCAGGTGAGCTTGGAACCAGGGGTGCATACGAATCTCAGGAATAGTCATACGCTTCATCGGGTCAACCACGAGTAACCTTGGAATCAGATCTCTAGCACCAGGTGATAAATGGCTGGGAAGGGTATAAATTCCACCCTTAAGAACAAATTAACATCATTCAGGATTAAGCGTCAGTCAGTGGCCTCTTTCTAATGGAAATGAATTTCAGATAATTGCAAAAAAGTAATACAAATTTATCATGAATGAACAGCAATGCCATAAAATATGAAGAACCTGTGGCATTGGACACTACTCAGTAATGGCATCCCAAAAGGGCAAACACAATCTTAAGACCTTAGATTGAAACAAATTTACACATTGATAGATCACCACTTTTAAAGTATCAAGTATTCAATGCCTAGTGTAATGGGAGTCTCAAGTCCAAAACCGCACATAAACATAAACATGAAAGATGGAACGGAAAAACATATTCTAATTAAGGTACTTCATCATTGAAAGGGCATACTAAGAGCTATGCAAACAGCTATCTGCTGTCTTCAAGTAGAACAAAAGAAAGACTACAAGGCTACATCTAGCAATTCTCCTTCATCAGAAAGTACACGACACGAGGAGATTAGCCAGGACTTTGGAACAACCTCGAGGATGGTTGCAAAGGAGACACATATAACTTGATATTTGCATCTTGGATGAGTACAGAAAATGAAATGGGAAACCAGAATTTGAGCAAAAATCATACTAAAAAAAGTTAAAACAAAAGGTAGCAGTGTACATGGATATATGCATCAATGTGATATTGAACAACAATTACAACCAAATGATGAATGTAATAAAACAATGAGTGGTCAAGTAATGATGTTTCACAAGACCCATATATATGCACATCATTTGATATGCTGAAGACTAAACCACACATAATAGTTGTGGTCCATGTCGCATGCTTAGCCAATATATCAAGCAAATAATATTTAAATGACGTACCTTAATTTTCTTGAACAGGTTAGGAATGTTTTCATCGTCGAAAGGAAGGGTGCCACAGAGAAGAGCATACAAGATGACGCCACAGCTCCATACATCTACCTCCGGTCCAGCATACAGCTTCCCAGATATTACCTATTTTAAAGGCATAATATAGGCAAGAGAAACTCAGAGACGATGTTTGGTGCTGCTGAAATGTCTTAGTTTGCAAACAAAACGAAAGTAGTATGATTTGTGTGAAACTCATCATTGCCAATTGATACCTCTGGGGCTGCATAGTTTGGGCTCCCACAACTTGTCTTCAAAAAATGACCATCACGCATGATATTGCTCAAACCAAAATCTGCAATTTTGACGTTGCATTTGGCATCCAACAGGAGGTTCTCAGGTTTAAGATCTCTGTGTACCACCATATTGCGGTGGCAGTACTCCACGCCAGAAATTATCTGCTTCAAGACATTGGTGTAAGTCTATATTAACCATTAAAAATATCGTTATCCACTTCTGACGAAATGAACACCAGCGATTGTAGCAATTGGGTAGACATGTTTTCACCTGCTGGAAGAAATTGCGAGCTTCATCCTCATGCAACCTACCCTTCTCCACAATGTAATCAAACAACTCGCCGGACTTCACATACTCCATGACAACATAAATATCTGATGGTGTCTCTACGACCTCATAGAGGCGGATAATATGTGGATGCATAAACAATCTTAATATCTTAATCTCTCTTCTAACTGCAAAACCAAGGGGACCCATAATGTCTGCATCAGTTGCATGATAACGATGTATGCCTATAATTTTGCCAGTTGCTACTAAGAGATACTTATGATGTGTCAAATAATAGCAATATGCCATATGATCAGTCTTAGTAGACATACGTTACTTAGAAAAGTTAGCTTACACCAAAATGATAGTTGTCATTACACTCGAAAGATGTGAAATGCATATGCATATAAATATGAAGATGACCTACTTGAAGTTGGTTGAAAAATAATGATCTCTGAATTAATGAGTTATAGTATTCATGTAAAAACATATACAATAAATTGACTGAACCTGAACACACGTAAGTCCCAGATTCAGAGAAGTAAAATCTGCATTTCCCAAGTTGCTTACTAGGCTACTTAAATTTCTATTACTAGAGCAGTAAAACATAATAGTCACTGAATTTGGTAACACCATGACTTAATAATTAGTATCCAAACATTTCATGCAGATGAATAAGAAAACAAATATAAATCGGTCCAGAGTCTTGGAGCCATAGCAAACCAATCACTATAGTAAAGTGATTCTAAGCCTGTTATATTTAAGACTCCTACACCTAGTAAAAATCTATCTCCGAACAGTTAAGATCAAAAATTCTGATTTTAACATGTTTAAAATATATGTCCATGGCAGTGTAACCTTAAGGAATACTTGTTTCTGAATTCATATAGTCCAGCTTCAGTCTCAAATGTGATTGCACAGAGCATATATGTGTGCTCCTTTTACTCTTTTCTTTGTATGAACCCAGATGCATGACATTAACATTAAGGCAACTTCGACCCAAAATATATGAAACTAATAACTACTTACATAAACTTTCAACAAAACCATCTAATTGTGGTATTTTTGTGTGAACCCAACAATGACTTTAATGCAACTTCGACCCGATATATATATATACACACACACACACACACACATATATATATATATGAAACTAATAACTACTTATATAAACTTTCAACAAATCCCTCTAATTATGGTATCACTATAATTTACAATGTTCCTACCTTTTTCTTCCATCTCCATGTTTTTGATTTTGCGACGATTGAGGATCTTTATAGCGACTTTGTGTCCTGTCAATGCATGCTCTGCAATTTTCACCTTCCCAAATGAACCAATACCAAGTGTTTTCCCAAGCTTATAGTTTCGTAAGAACATTTCCACACTGCTCCCACCATGCCCTGATCCCTCCATATCTTATCCGAAAAGATGGTTGACTGAACAAAATAAATAAATATTCAATCAATAAGAATATCCAAGACAAGCTTTCATAAGCTAGTTAACTGGAATTAATTGATTTCTATCCTTCATGTGAAAGATACAAAGAATTCAAACCACAGTTCACTTCACATTTTATTTAGCTTAAAAAGAGGCTTTGTCAAGCCTATTTGATGGTTTCAAAAGGCAGTTTTTAGCTTAAGAATTACACAACCACTAATCAATATTTCCTGTGAAACTCAGTAAGTCATTGGTCTCACACACCAACTAAACAACCAAGTTAGTAATTCTAAGAACAAGTAGACCTTATTAAATAAAATTGTTAAGATATGCAAAAACCCAAAGGGGAATATAAATACAAGTTTGGCTAAAGCCACCTGAAATATACACAATCAACAATTAATCAGCAAAGAGAAATATTGCCGTGTAAGCCAGAGTCAGGAACAGACTACTTAAACTAGGAATCTAGGATACATATTTAACGCATTATGACATAGAATCAATGCGATCAATGATATGATTCGAATTCCCTTTGCAGTAGGAAAAGCAACGATCATATGAAAAGTCAAACCATGATAAAAATGGACCAGAATTTTCTGATCCCATAATACAATTGCAGTAGGAAAAGCATGAGTCCAACGCTCCATAGCATGGATAGTTTCAAGCCTGGCTTTTCATGAAAATTAAATTAATATTTTAAGACATGGAATACCGATGGTACCAAAGGTAACACAAATACAGTAATATCTGTAACAATTTTCGTACTCAGGTGCTCTTTGAAACCAGATTGTTTTACTAATATCTTCAAGATAAACTTCCCCAAAATTTCTTGAAGAATCTCAAAAAGGTAAATACCCTAATACAATGAAAAAATAATGGAAAGGTATTTTACGTGAATTCTTGGTTTTCAAATTGAAGTAACTTTGTGGACCAAAAGGGGACACTAGGGGGAAACTAGGTAACTTCGCCAAAACGGGGAAAAATCAGTTATTTATGGAATATCTCAAGATGGAAGCATTTGGTTGGAAGGTTAGCCGAAAAGGGAGATGTCACAATTATTATGAAATATTCCACCTTGAGATGAAAATCTTTACATCAGTCATGAGAAGGAAGGGAAAAAAATATTTGGCCTGCAAGTTGCATGCCATATCGGTAATAAACCATCACTATTGAGGTAACACATGAATATGAAATAGAAGTAGTCTGCTTATAAGTCAGGGTTCGGTTATGAGATTTGTGCGAGCCATATTAGAGTTCCGCTGTAGGATGTATCTGGATTATACTTGAGGCAGCATTACTTATGGCTAAAACAAGTACTCTTGTTACCCCATTTCAAGAGGAGATCCAAAATCATTCCAAATGGAAAGATTTAGATTAGCAACAATTAGTAACCAAATTAGTGCCTTATCGATACAAGCAAGAATCAGAATTGAACTTGCCTAAAAGAAAGCAGGCTGTAAGATTGAGCCAAAACGCAAGGTATTGATACCCGTATCCACACCTGCCAATGGTAGTTGTTTAAAAATTCACATTGACATTTGAGACTGGTTCAAAGAGAATCAGTTGATTATACGTAGATGGTAATAGAACACCAAATTAGCAAATAAGGAGAATATAAATCCATCAAAAAGGGGAATCTCAAATACAACGCAATTGAATGAATTTATTCAAAAAGCAAGATTCTTATGAGATTAGACTGAGTTCGTCGACCGATTTTCCGAACCAAAAACCCATGACAACCACAGATCTGAATTTCAAAATTAAACAAAGCATTCGATATAAAATTTAAAGTAGAGCGAGGAAATTATTTCACGTAATAGATGCAAACAGATAGGGAAATTTCAAAGACTAACCGAGTAACTAAAAAACACAGGAACTGAGTCAAATCATGTAAGGTTTTCGTCTCCCGATGAAGACTCCTGGTTGCGAAATTATGGCGAAATCCTGAATGTGGTTTCTTCGTTCAAGAAATCAGCGTAGATATACAACAGAGAGATTATAGAGATGGGTATGCAATAATAGTACAATAATAATAAATTGAACAAAAAAACAAAGGTAGACCTCCTCTGTGACAAGGGTTTGAGGAGGAGGGGAAGGAGGAGGGTGATGGTGAAGGAAAGCTTTGTGAATGGCCACGCAACAAATCACAAAAGGGCTCACTTGTTCTTCTCTCTCCTACTTGAAAGTATACCTCACCATTTCATTTTTCTATGCTACTTTCCCATCTACCATTTCTTTGTCAGGTTGATCGAAAGTTGATTAATGGTTTAGCGTAAAATAATTAAGAGGTTTTTATAATATAATATAAAATGAAATATAATTATTTGGTAATTATTTATAACAAAATTAAGGTATTGAATGGTTAAGAAAAACTCATAATACAAAATCATTCAGATGGTTTTGGAACTAGAGGCAGACTTTTTTTTTGCTGAATAAGATTCAACTCTTAACGATTCATAGTTTGCTTCTTAATGAAACTATTAAGAAGTAAACAAACAACCCCTTACTTATATTTCATAAAAATATGTTTTTTTAGTAAAGATTATATTAAATCTATTTAATTTTCGAAATATAAAAAAATTATGTTTATAATAAAAAATCAAGATTATCTAAGCTATTAGAGCATTTATAATAAATTATTTATGATTTCTTTATATTAGATAAATTAAAATTAAAATCACTAAAAAGAATTGCATTTAACTTTAACAAATTCTCTATTTTAGAGATTTCAACGTAAATTATATTATTACAATATTCTCTAAGTTTATCATTTCAATACACTTTTTTTTTTAAAAACTTCATATAAATTAATAATGATTTAATCTTGAAAGAAACTTTGAGATGTGCTCAAATGAAGTTCATCATTAATCCTGTTCCGACTTGGTTGAACGTATTTGGTTGAATCGAGATAACATGTGATTTATATTATTATTTGTTTGTGTTACTTTTCTATAAAGACGAATGTTTGTGTAATTTTACATTTTTTAATTATAATATATACAATAATGTTTATGTTCTAATTTCTTTTCAAATATGTTAACAAAAATATATAAATTAACAAATTAAATTAATATAGAAAAGTGAAAATTAATTAATTATATTTATAATTTTTTATAATTTTATAATATATATGTATTAAATTTTATATAATAATCTATGAATAAAATTACATCTTATTTATACTATATTATAAAGCATTTGACAAAAACTTTTAAAAACCAATTTTTATGCGTAAAGTACTGTTTATTAATGTATATTACTTAAAACTTAAGATTACAAGTAGATTGTGCGTAAGTACAACTTACTAAAGCTCCATATCTAAATTCGTGTAACTAACTGCAAATAAACATAATCAAATACAGGATAAACATCTTATTTTAAATATAAAAAATCTAAAATATAATTAGGATAATCATTGAATTCTAACAGAATACTTAATTATTATCTTTATAAAATTTATAATATTAAACCCAAAATAAATTATTTCATTATTAAACTTAAATTAAATTATAATAAATAAAAAAAATTAATGAAGTTACATAAAAAATTAGAACTTTTAAATAGTTGATTTGATATTAACATTGATATATTTTTTCAAATTTGTATGATATCTTCGAATTTATATTTTATTCAAAAATAAAATCGTTATTGCTTTCTTAAAAACAAATAATCTATACTATATTATAAAGCATTTGACAAAAACTTTTAAAAACCACTTTTTATGTGTAAAATACTGTTTATTAATGCATATTATTTACAACTCAAAATTACAAATAGACTGTGCGTAAGTACAACTTATTAAATCTCAATATTTGAATTCGTGTAACTAACTGCAGATAAACATAATCAAATACAAGATAAACATCTAATTTTAAATATAAAAAATCTAAAAATAATTAGAATAATCATTGATTTATAACAGAAAATTTAATTATTATCTATACTATATTATAAGGAATTTGACAAAAACTCTTAAAAACCATTTTTTATGCATGAAATATTGTTTATTGATGCATATTAATTAAAATTTAAGATTACAAATAATTTTGCATAAGTACAACTTATTAAAACTTTATTTTTAAATTCGTATAAATAACTGCTGATAAACATAATCAAATATAAGATAATATTTAGAAAATATAAAATATAATTAAGATGATCATTGATTTATAACAGAATGTTTAATTATTATCTTTATAAAAAAATTATATTATTAAACCAAAATTAATCTATATCTATCTATACTATCTTATAAAACATTTGGCTAAAACTCTTAAAAACTCTTAAAACTCTTAAAAAACTCTTAAAAACTCTTAAACCCGTTCATCCCTAAACGATTTCATCTCTTTCCGATTTCATCTCATATCTGAATTCGTGTAACTAACTGCAGATAAACACAATCAAATA